TCCCCGGCACGCGCGGAGGCCGTGGTGGCGGCGGAGGGGCCGGGTGACTCTGGGACGGCTGCGCCCGGGAGCCATGTGGCGCTGGAGGGGAGGCGGCCAATCAAAGCCTGGTGCTCCGACTGTTGCTTTGCCCTCTCCGCCGCCTGCACACGCTCAGTCGCAGCAAGCAAGCTGCCCGCGGCCGTGGTGACCTCCGCCTCGGTCTTGCCGGGTGGCGGGGGTGCAACGGCACCGCCGTGGGTGGACATTGGCGGGGCGTCGGCGCGGTCGCGACGGGCGCTGATGTGGGCGCAGACCGACCGGCGACCGTGCGCTCAGCGATGCCGCAGCGGCGATCCTTCGCTCTGGGAGAGCTGGCAGCCTCGTGATCCTACTCGCGAAGCACCGCAGGCTGCGACCCCGAGGCTGGTACGCGTCACAGCTGCTTGCGGGACTCTCGAGGCGTAGGGTGATCGAAATACGGAGGCTTCGTTTGCGAGCTGATGTGCTGTCCTTGTTTGTCAGGTTTAGAAGCGACCTTGTTCACCGCGCCCTCCGCTGCTCTACATATGCTTGCGCTTTGAAGCTGGGTCACTAGTGAGTAACCCAATGTCCCACTTTCAGGACTCGCTGGACTCCTTTCATCACGTGGCGTGCTGATTCACCGTATCCATTAGAATAATTACGGGGCAGCATTCCGAGCCTGCACGGCTGACCAAGCTTTTCAGATCTCAGCATCACCAGTGCCCCTGTCTCGTCCTGTATCGCAGTCCACAAGCACACCTGCGGTTTAAAAGCAGTATCATAAGATGTTAATGGATGCTCGCGCCTCCGGCCATGCCCGCTGGGGGTCGTCATCGCGGACGATGCCGGTGGTGCGAGCGAGCACCAGCAGCAGCGCCAGCAGCAGCAGTCGACCGGCAGCCTCGTACTCTTTCCAGGGCCAGCGCCTACCGCCGGCGCGCGCAGCCGCGCCCCCGATGCCCGCCCCGACCGCGGCCGCCGCGACATCGCAAAAGGGCACGGACCGGCGCGCGCATGACCAGATAGGCACACTGCTCGTCCAATGCCCGGACGCCAAGGGCGTTGTTGCCAGGTGCGACGTGTGCATGTAGGCTTGCGCCTTTTCACGAGGCGCTGAAGGACAGGCGTTGACGGTGCCGTGGCCGGGCTGCTGTCCGAGGGGGCCGCGGGTGACACCGACAATATGCCGAGGTCCCCACTTTCTGTTGGAGGGTTCGCAGAGCCCCTCACATCGCTTGTCACTTCGCAAAGCCCCTCGCACCGCCGGACGCCCCTCAAGCCACCTTTCCCATCTCCGCTTCTGCCTGCGCCCCTCGCCTCGGTCAAACGCAGCGTGGCCCAGCTTCTGTTCGGGTTCAACGTCAACATTCTCCAGGCACGCGCCGCGCAGATGCTGGCTGCGCGTTCATTATCCGCACGTTCAACGTAGCCGGCGCTGGCATTCTCCTGGCAGCCGCGGGCCCTACGTGCCTGGGCAGCCAATGGGGCAACCGCCCTGCTGCAGCTCGGCGCGCGCCCCACTTCCGGACCGCCGCCTAACCGCCTCCACCCCCAACCGCCCGTAACCTCGGGGCCCCGACGGCCCCACAGTCTGACCAGTTCACCGACGAGACCACCGCGGTGCCCCGCTTCTTCCAGCGCACCGAGTTCGACTTCTCGGAGATATCTGGTGAGATACTTCGCGCTGAGATATTTCAGGGCCACCCTAGACGCCGCACGGAAGGAGGGCCGCCCTGCCCTAGGACCTCCGGCGGCCGCGGCGCTGCAGCGCCTTCCTTGGGCCGCGTCAGCGCCAGGTGGTGCGCGCAATTTCACATCAGGACCAGCCGCACGTGCAGAATCACTCCCAACCCAACTCGTCCGCCTATGCCCTCTCGCCCCGCGCCATCCTTTGCCTCTCCTTCCCCGCTCCCCAGTGGGCGCGGCCAACCTGCCGGTGCTGGAGCGCGCCATCGATGACCTGGCGGCGCGGTACAACATGGAGTACCGGATATGTGGGTTACGCAGAGAGTGACGCGGCGGGTGACACAGCGGGTGTCGCAGTGGACCACGCAGCGAGTGACACAGCGGGTGACGTGCGCACGGGCGCGCCGCTCATCAGCTGCCCTTGCCTCCAGCATGGGCGCCAGCGCGGCCGCTGCGCTGGACAGGGCCGCTCCTGCGCGCTCGGCGCTGCGCCCACAGCCGGGTTGCGCTCACGTCCGTCACGCGTCTTCTCGCCAGCGCCCACCCTCATCGCGACACACCACCCGCGAAAACGCCACCGCCAACGGGCCCCCTGCTTCGGCGCCCTGCACCTTATCTTGATATCCCTATCTTCCCTGCCCGTTGAACTTCCAGCGTACCAGCCAAAGCCCAAGCGCATGGCCATCCTGGTGTCTAAGCTGGACCACTGCCTGTGGGACCTGCTCATCCGCCACCACTCGGGGGAGCTCAAGTGCGACATCCCAGGTGGACCAGGGGGGGAG